CCCTCGCGCCGCCCTTACGGCCCCTTAAGGCCCCTCGCATCGCCCTTACGGCCCCCGCGCGGCCCCTTTCGGCCCCTCGCGGCGCCCTTTCCGGCCCCTTACGGCCCCGTCTAGGCCTCTTGCGACCCCGTCTAGGCCCCGTCTAGGCCCCTTACGGCCCCTCCGCGGCCCCGTCTAGGCCCCTTGCGGCCTCGCTACAGCCCCGTCTAGGCCCCTTACGGCCCGTCCGCGGCCCCGTCTAGACCCTTGCGGCCCCGCTACGGCCCCGTCTAGGCCCCTTACGGCCCCTCCGCGGCCCCGTCTAGGCCCCTTGCGGCCCCGCTACGGCCCCGTCTAGGCCCCTTACGGCCCATCCGCGGCCCCGTCTAGGCCCCTTGCGGCCCCGCTACGGCCCAGTCTAGGCCCCTTATGGCCCCTCCGCGGCCCCGTCTAGGCCCCTTACGGCCCCGTCGCCGCCACGTGCGGCCCCGTCGCCGCCACCAGCGGCCCCGTCGCCACCACCTGCGGCCCCGTCGCCGCCACCTGCGGCCACGCAACCGCCACGTGCGGCCTCGCCGCCACCTACGGCCCCGTCACCGTCACCTGCGGCCCCGTCGCTCTCCCCTAGCGGCCTTGTCACCGCTCAGCCGCCCAGCGACCGAGCCGCCGAGCAGCCCAGCAACCCTGCCACCGAGCCGCTCAGCAGCCGAGTCGCCCTACCGCCGAGCCGCCCTGCCGCCGAGCCGCCCAGCAGCCGAGCCGCCCAGCAGCCGAGCCGCCTTGCCGCCGAGCCGCCCAGCAGCCGAGCCGCCCAGTAGCCGAGCCACCCTGCCGCCGAGCCGCTCAGCAGCCGAGCCACCCTGCCGCCGAGCTGCCGAGCTGCCGAGCCGCCCTACTTTCGAGCCGCTGCTGTTCCTACCGGTGCTCCCCGGCCCTCCTTCCTCGGACTGGTGAGCTCACTTCCTGCTAGGCCACTGCAGTCATGGCTACCCCCAGTGTCCTTACTTTTGATGCTGAGGGCCGTGCCGATGACTTTGAGGTCTGGGTCGATGACCTCCAGCTATTTCTCCAGTACGATAGGGCAGACGGACTCTCTCTGTTCGATCTCACCTCTGGTGTCTCTCCTGCCCCGCCTGCCACTGCTGACAACACTGTTCGCTCACAGTGGGCCACACATGATGCTGTTGCTCGCCTTGCTGTGCGTCGCCACTTACTGACCACTGAGCGGGCACACTTTAGCCAGTACAAGAGTGCTCAGACCTTGTACGACGCTGTAGTTGCACGCTACTCTTCCCCTGCCACTGCTGCACGCAGCCGCCTCATGCTACCGTACCTCTTCCTTCACCTTGCTGCCTTTCCCACAGTCGCTGACCTCATTACGCACCTCCGCACTAGTGACACTCGCTACCGCGCTGTGCTTCCTGCTGACCCTCTTCGCGTAGTCAGGGACCACTTCCTCTCAGTTTTCCCCACCACTCTCACCGTTGACCTCCACGAGAAGGGCCTCCTAGCAGCAGAGAAGAGCATAGTCGCTGTAGGAGCCTCTCGTGGTGACCCTCGCACCCCCGTCTTTGAGGGGTGTTCCCCCTGCCCCCTCTTGCCCTCTGTTGCTTCAGCTGCTGCGGCCGACCTCGTTGGTTTCGAGTCGGTCGGCGCTGCGTCTGCCCCTAGCAGAAGACGCTGCACCGGCAAGGGCAAGGGGGGCAAGGGCGCTGGAGAGGCTGGCGAGGGCGGTGGAGGTGGTGGTGGAGGCAGTGGAGGGGGTGGTGGTGGGAGTGGTGGCGGGGGTGGCGACGGCAGCGGCAGCAGTGGAGGCGGAGGAGGCGGCGGTGGTGGCGGAGGGAGCGGAGGCGGCGGAGGTGGCGGAGGAGGCGGAGGTGGAGGAGGCGGCGGAGTCGGCGGCGGCGGTAGTGGACCTGCTCGCGGCTCTGCGCAGAGGAGTGGCTCTAGTGGTGGTACGCGCCAACAGCAGCAGAGCAGTTGTGAGACCCTGTCACCTCAGCAGCTTCGTGAGTGGTACGCTGCGCGTCAGCGCGGTGGGGGTACGGGTCCCTGCACCTACGTTCTCCGCACCGGCGACCGCGCTGGTGAGCAGTGCGGGGGCCCGCACTCCACCCAGCTTTGCTTCGGCCGCCTGACGGATGCGTGGCGTCACCAGTTCCCTGGGGCCTCTAAGATCCCTCGCTGGGGAGAACTGTCTAGGGCGGGGGTTGCTATCTTTGATCTTGATTTTGATGCCATTCTTGCTGCCATGTATGCTGTTGATGATAGTGTTGCGGGTGACTGTTACCTGTGTGTACCGCCTGACCCGGGCATTGAGGCTGCTGCTCTAGGTGCTCGTGCGTCTGCTGCCCCAAGTGCCAGTGCGTCTGCTGCCCTAGGTGCTGGTGAGTCTGCGCTCTAAGGTACTACATCGGCTCAGGCCTTACACACCTTCACCCTTGACTCGGGTGCGTCCCGCTCCTTCTTTCGAGACCGCACCACTCTTACACCGCTCAGTCGGCCGGTTGCAGTCTCCCTGGCGGACCCCTCCGGGGGTCCTTTCCTTGCTAGCTTCTCCACTGTCTTACCGTGCCCGGCAGCCCCCTCTGGCACCCTCTCAGGTCTCTACCTCCCCTCGTTCTCTACGAACTTGGTGAGTGGAGCGGACCTACAGGATAGGGGGGTTGACCAGTTCACTCCTGCGAGTCAGCGGGTGACCCACTGCACGTGTGCTCGGACAGGCCGACACTTGGCCACGTTCACCCGTTGGCCAGGGTCAAGCCTGTACACCCTTACTACTGAGTCTCCTTCGGCTGCTGAGTCTGGCCAAGTAGCTGCGTGAGTCAGGTGTTTGCTGCAGCGTCCAGGTCTGGTCCTGAGTCTGCTCCGTGCTCGTGTCGTCTCCTGTCCCACATGACTCTCCTTTGGCACCACCGCCTTGGTCAACCCTCTCTGCCTCGTCTCCGAGGCATGGCCTCCCGTGTCCTTGTCTCTGGTCTCCCTCGGTCTCTGGCCTGGCCCTACCTGCGTCCCCTGCGTCGAGGGGCGACAGCGCGCCGTCCCTCACTCCTCCGAGTTTCCTCCGACAGAGGATCCACTGCAGACTCTCCACATGGACGTGTGGGGCCCCGCCCGCGTCAGTGGGCAGGGGCGCGAGCGGTACTTCCTGCTGGTGGTTGACGACTACTCGCGTTACACCACAGTCTTCCCCTTGCGCAGCAAGGGTGACGTCACTGAGGTGTTGATCGATTGGATCCGCGCAGCTCGTCTCCAGCTCAGGGAGAGTTTCGCCTCGGACTTTCCTGTTCTGCGTCTGCACTCGGACAGAGGCGGGGAGTTTTCCTCTGCCCGTCTGGGAGCTTTCTGTCGTGCGCAGGGCATCCGCCAGACGTTCACGCTTCCGGCCTCTCCACAGCAAAATGGGATTGTTGAGCGCCGCATTGGCATGGTGATGGACGTCGCTCGTACGTCCATGATGCATGCGGCTGCCCCCAATTTTCTGTGGCCGTTTGCGGTTCAGTACGCTGCGCATCAGCTCAACTTTCAGCCCCGGGTCTCCTTGCCAGAGACCTCCCCCGCCTTGCGGTGGACCGGGAAGGTTCGCGATGCGTCTGCGTTTCGGGTCTGGGGATCTCGGGCGTTTGTCCGCGACTTGTCTGCGGACAAGCTGTCCCCCCGTGCTGTTCCTTGCGTCTTCCTTGGCTTCCCCCCTGACGCGCCTGGGTGGCAGTTTTACCACCCCACCTCGCGCCGTGTTCTCTCCTGCCAGGACGTTATCTTTGACGAGTCGGTGCCTTACTACCGTCTCTTCCCCTACCACACTGCACCCCTCCCCCCCCGCCGCTCTTCCTCGCGCCAATCCCCCCCCCGGTAGACCCCCTCCCCCCTCAGGGTCCTGCCCCACCAGGTGTGTCCCAGGTAGACGCAGTCGAGCCTGTCAAGGTAGTTGTTGACTCTGGTGCTGCTAGAGGTGCTGAACCTGCGGGTGCCGGGTCTGGGGGTGCTGAGACTGGGGGTGCTGAGACTGGGGGTGCTGAGTCTGGGGGTGCTGAGTCTGGGGGTGTTGAGTCTGGGGGTGCTGGGTCTGGGGGTGCGGAGCCTGGGGGCGCTGGGTCTACTCGTGTGGCCGCCGGCGGTGCTTCGTCGAGGCGGGAGCCGCTCTCTCCACAGGAGCTGCGCTAGTGGTTTACCCGCCGCTGGGGACGTGCTGCCGGAGCTGGAGGTGCTCCCGTTGCTGCTGGTCCCGGAGGTGCTCGTACTGGCGGTCCTGGAGCTACTGGGGCCACTAGAGTTGGTCCTGCTGGAGCTGTTGGCGGTGCTGGTGCTGCAGGAGCTTGAGCTGCTGGGGGTGTTGGCGCTAGTGTTTCTACTGGCGCTGGTGCGTCTGGGGGTGCTGCTGAGGCTGCTGGAGCTGGAGCTGCTGGAGCTGGAGCTGCTAGAGGTGTTGGCGCTGGAGGTACTGCTGGTGCTAGTGCTTCTGAGGGTGCTGGAGTTGGCGCTGTTGGAGCTGGAGGTGCTGCTGGCGCTGGTGCTGCCGCTGAGGGTAGTGGTGCTGTCCTTGCTGGTTCTGGAGGCGCTGCGCGGCTGAGGCCGTACTTCGTTTCACTCCTGGAGCACGTTCTTGGTCTCCCGCCCTCTATTGGTCCTGCTCCTCCCTTCGAGTGTCCACAGCCTGTCCAGTCCCAGTCACAGTTACAGCCCACCTTCCCTCTACCTGCTCCTTCTCCCTACACTGGCCCTACTGGAGGTCTTGCTGAGCGTTGTGAGCCTGCGTCTCGTCCCGCGTCACCTGTTCGTGCTACTCGCACTAGTGGTCGTACTGCGCGTTTGCGTCCTCCTGTGGTCTCCGGCACACACCAGATGGCGCTACGTCCTTCAACTGCTCCTCTGCGTGTCCTGTACCGTCTCCTCCAGAGTCCTCTCTTCCTACTCTTGCTGACCCTGAGTCTGACTCTCTTCGTGCTGCTAGTCCTTCTGTCACGCGTCTTCTGGCTACTGTTGTCACTGACCCTTCCTTTGAGTCCACTGCTGCGTCTGCCCTAGTTGCTGAGCTTGCCGACTTTGCTACTCGCTGTCGTCTAGACTACGCTGCTAGTCTCGTTGCTGAGTCTGAGTCTGTCTGTCCTCCGTCCGTCGAGGGTGAGTGTGCTCTTAGCACGGACGTCCTTGAGGACACGCAGGAGGAGTTCCACTGCTTTGCTGCTGCTTTGCCCTATCTCGTGTCCACGCTGATTGCCCCTGAGGGAGACCCGGATGCACCAGACATCCCGACTCCTGGATCGTACGCTGAGGCGATCGAGGGTCCCTACTCCTCTCAGTGGCAGTCGGCCACGGACGCAGAGATGGCTTCCTGGAAGTCCACAGGCACCTACGTTGACGAGGTTCCCCCACCTGGGGCGAACATCGTCAGTGGCATGTGGATCTTCAGGGTGAAGCGGCCGCCGGGTTCTCCGCCTGTCTTCAAGGCGCGTTACGTGGCTCGAGGCTTCAGTCAGCGGCAGGAAGTTGACTACTTTCAGACCTTCTCTCCCACCCCGAAGATGACCACTCTTCGGGTGCTGCTGCACATAGCTGCTCAGCGCGACTACGAGCTTCACTCTCTTGACTTCAGCACAGCTTTCCTGCAGGGCAGCCTGCACGAGGAGATCTGGCTGCGCCGCCCACCTGGCTTCACTGGGTCGTTTCCTCCTGGTACCCAGTGGAGCCTCCGGCGGCCAGTCTACGGTCTCCGCTAGGCGCCCCGTAAGTGGCACGACACACTGAGGACTACACTTGCGGCTCTTGGGTTTGCTCCTTCTACAGCCGACCCGTCGCTGTTTCTGCGCACCGACACCTCTTTGCCACCGTTCTACATCCTTGTGTACGTCGAGGACTTGGTCTTTGCCACTGCTGACACTGCTGGACTCGCCCACGTGAAGTCCGAGCTGCACAAGAGACACACGTGCACATACCTGGGTGAACTGCGCAGCTACCTTGGCTTGCAGATCACCCGGGACAGAGCACACCGCACCATTACCCTAACTAAGTCACACATGGTGCAGCAGGTCCTTCAGCGCTTCGGCTTCACGTACTCCTCGCCTCATGCCACTCCTCTGTCTACTCGCCACTCGCTCTCAGCTCTGCCTTCGGATGAGTCCGTAGAGCCGAGTGGCCCGTACCCAGAGCTTGTTGGCTGCCTCATGTACCTGATGACCTGCACACGACCTGACCTTGCATACCCTCTTAGCATCTTGGCACGCTATGTTGCTCCTGGGAGACACCGACCAGAGCACATGGCTGCAGCGAAGAGGGTGTTGCGCTACGTGTGCAGTACGTCGGGCATGGGGCTAGTGCTTGGAGGGCGGCGTCGAGTGGTTCTCACAGGTCACGCAGACGCTTCTTGGGCTGACGACCAGGCTCTGCAGCGGTCATCACAGGGTTACACCTTCAGCCTTGGCTCTGGCTCTGTTTCGTGGCGGTCTACCCGCTCGTCTTCTGTTCTCAGCTCCAGCTGTGAGGCTGAGATCTACGCTGGGGCCATGGCTGCACAGGAGCTACGCTGGCTCACCTACCTGCTGACTAACCTAGGAGAGCCGCCTCGTTCTCCTCCAGTTCTGTACGTAGACAACAAGGCCATACTGGCCTTGTGTCGGGAGCACAGACTGGAGCACAGAACGAAGCACATTGCTCTCCGCTACTTCCTGGCTCGTGAGCTGCAGCAGCGTGGTCAGCTCCGCCTCATACGTGGCCTCTGAGGCCAACACTGGTAATATATTCACCAAGGCCCTTCCGCCTTGTGATCATCAGCGCTTCTGTACTGTGCTAGGGTCTTGTGCCTACTTGGCCTTACTGCTCGCTTCTTGACCTTGCTTGTACTGTCCTCTTTCTATACCTGCACTTGCTTGTTTTACCTTTAGATATATGATCTTGCATGTGAACTGGCTTTGTGGCCTTGCTCTTGTGCTCGGACTGTGTGGTGACGTTGTGATCCACCCTGAGCTTGCTTTGCTTTGCTTGACTGGTCTTGTGACACCTTGTTCTCCCCCACTCTGCCTATGGGGGTGTGTCAAGCATATATGCTATAGTCTGTGTAGGCTGTAGTGGGGCAGTTCATATGGGGTACAACACTTTAGGGTTTGCTACTTGTACTCCCCTTTCTGCTCAATGCATTCTTTCTCGTTTCTCGTCAAAAAGTGCGTAAATACACTCTTCAAATGATTTCCTCAAAATTTGAAACCAAAGTTAAAGGGTTGCTACGCAACCCAATAAAAGTATATCAGGAGTGTGCAATAGCTGTTTATGAGGAAGAGCTTTAGGAGGTATAGGTTGAACAATTTTGTAAGCATGCCTATATTCAAGGAAAGGCGTGTTCTCACCGGCCCTCTACGTATCAGGTCACACGTTTTTGTGTGGCGCCCGCGCATTCACACTAACACGGAAAATGTTGGGAGATTTGCTGGTTCATGAACCTGGTTGTATTCACTGATGTGCATGTGCCAACAATCTTGGATTCTGTAGCAATTTACATCTTCAGGCCTTGCTATTTCCTGCCAATTTTCCCCTTTGCTGTTGCAGTATTACAATGCTTTCCAAGGGTCGAATTTCAGAGGCGCGCAAGCCAACTCCCCCCACTGGAGAATGAAAAGGCTTGTTTCTGACTTGTTGACCAGGTGTCCTTGAGGGAGGGGCATTCAACGGAGACCAACCTGGATGTATTTATTCATAGACTGCCTCAGTCCATCTAAGTAGTAACCAGAGCGCCACCAACACCAACCTGCCCCCCTCCAACGATTGTGTACCCAGTAGAGCAAAGCGAATCAGAGTCACATTTGTACTTACATAAACAGATCTGCATAAAAGATCTGGAAGTGCTTTTTGATGTGTTTATATTACCAACTATCAAGAGATAGGATATTTGTGTCCTGGCTCCCTCCGTTCTTCCCCTGGTGTTCTCCATTTTCTTTCATGATCACGCGTGGCGGCCGCGACTTTCCAACTTCTCATGGCCCTATTGAACAGCTTTTAGGGTTTCCCATGCTGCATGGACGGACAGAGGCGTGGTTTGCTTGACCCTTCAAAGTTCGAGAGGCCAAGTAAACCGAACAGACACCTCAAGCAAGGCTAGAAGCTCTGATAGAAGCTTCTCCCTTAGCCTTGCCTCCATCCTCCACGCACCAGCCATGCTGACTCATTCCTCCTCTGGCTCACTTCCCATCACCTAACCAGACATCGGAGCAGCGCTGTTTCTGTGTTATCACACGCAGCATTCCAAGTCGGCTATGGTTTACCCGCAGCCAGTGGAGAGCAAGCATTATCCGAGTCTGGTACAGGCCCGCTGCTAGCTAATACATCCGCGTCTCCTCTGAAACCGCATTTCGAAATCTTCCTGTACTCTCATAGTAGCGCTGTGTAATGCTCGTATCTCTCCGTTTTCCGCTCACTATTGACAGCACCTGCTTCCTGCTTTCGGCAGGTGGCATTAGTTAGTTCATTCGCCGCGTTAGGGACTGCGAGTCTGCGTCTGCAACTGTCCGTCACGATCAGCGCTCGACCTTTGGATCACAACTTTCGTTGGGCTTTTCGGGTTCGCTCGGCGCGCACGCATGTCGGACCATACCGACCATCGTTTGCACGCTCGGATAACAACACGGCAGTAACAACTCGTCGTCACGATTATCATAGCCATTATCTTAGCTAGTACAGTCATCGTTTAACGTTCAACTGGTAACTGAGCACGCACCGCCAACGGCTGCTTCTTCCATTCGTCGGAGCGCGCTTCGTTACAGGCATCCGCTCGTCCGTAATCCGTTCCATCTCATCGGCAGTCACACCTCTCATTTCGTAAAAGCCCAAAAATATTGGTATCGTGCGCTCACGCGGTTGTTGCCCTGCTGCGACCCGCGTCTCGTAGCAGCGCCGCGGCGCTCCGTCCGATTCGGGCCGCGCTTGCCGCCGCTTTTAGGAACACCTCGCGTTTCGCACTTTAGGAGCCTCCGTAATTGGCCCCATAACCCTGGGGCAAAAGCAATTGGTCTGTCCTGTTGGCCCGGCAGTTTTTCTACGGAGATTAGAGACACGAGCGAGCGGCGCGAGGTGGCACCGAGAGTTAATCGGCGCGAGGTGGCCATTGATTCTGGCGTGTAGGGGGAGGGGGGTGAGAGGGGGTGGGATGACCGGCGGAGTTTACGGGTCGAAAGGTTCGGGGCGGGGAGCCTCCGCGCGGCACCGGGAGCGGTTGCGGGACGACGAGAGCGGGCGGGGGAGCAGGGGGAGCCACGGCAGCCGCGGGGAGTCGAGCGGGGGAAGCAACAGCGGCGGAAACGAGTCGTCCGTGAATGGAGGGGCCACCGCGTGGGCCATAGACTTTACAGAGGTAGGGGGAACAGGGGGGCTTAGGTGGGGGGACGGAGGAGAAGGAGGTGGGAAATGGAGGTAAATATGTGGGGGAAATGGGGGAGCAAAAGGAAGGTTTAGGTGAGAGGTAGGTTTGACAGGAAGGTGTTGAGAGGTTTGAGGCAGTGTTTCTCTCAGGTTTAGGAGGGTGAGTTAGGTTTGGGGTATGGTGTGGACGAGAGGGTGGTCAGGAGGGAGATGCGCGGGAAACAACGGCACGGACATTGAGAGTGTCGCAGGTGTGTGTGAATGGTGGTAGTTGGTTTCCAAGAAGGCCTTAATGCTGTTTAAATCAAAGTGTGAGATTTCTTTCCTTTTCCCTTAAATTTTGCACATGGCTAAATACAGGGGTTCTGGATAGGGCTTTTGTGCGAGGGATGACGCGTGCATGCCAGGGGAATAGGGGGTGGGGGGGGAGGCAAGGAAGGGGGAATGAAGGTCGGGGAAGGAAGGCAGAGGAAATGGGGTATGGGGAATTTATAGGCCTTTTGTTCTTTGTGCTTGAAAACAGTGCTGACGATTTGTGCTGCGGTGTTGCTCCCATTTGTCCCTTGTCCCACCTGCATCCAACCACACCACCCCCATCGGCCCCCCATTACCCCTATTGACCCTTGGTGGATTTCTGCCGTTCTTCCTCCTCCTCCTTCTCCTCCTCCTCCTCCTCCTTCTCCTCCTCCTCCTCCTCCTCCTCCTCCTCCTCCTCCTCCTCCTCCTCCTCCTCCTCCTCCTCCTCCTCCTCCTCCTCCTCCTCCTCCTCCTCCTCCTCCTCCCCCCTTCCCTACCCCCGTCCACTTCCTTGTCCCATTTCATAGTCCTCAAACCCTCAGCGTTCCCCGTCCCCCCCTTTCGTCTCCCTTTCTTCCATCTCCTCCCTCTTCCAATTCCTCCCTCTTCCAATTCCTCCCTCTTCCATCTCCTCCCTCTTCCATCTCTACCCTCTTCCCTCTTCCCACTTCCCGCTCCCAGGTGGAGCTGGGCGAGCTAGTCGCCACGGGCTCTCGTTCGGCGTGGTGCACAGAGCCGTGTATCGCTTCTAGCAGCGCCACAAAAACCCTCTCATCCCACCTCTCTTCCCCCGCTCCTCCCTCCCAGGTGGAGCTGGGTGAGCTAGTCGCCACGGGCTCGTTTGGCGTGGTGCACAGAGGCGTGTATCGCGGGCAGCAAATAGCGGTCAAGTTCCTGCTCTTCCCGGAAGCTAGTAGCGAGGATGACTTGAATCGGGCCAAGAGGGGGTTCCGGCAGGAGGTGGCGGTGTGGCACAAGCTGCAGCACCCAAACGTCGTGCAGGTGCGTGCGTGTGTGCGTGTGTGTGTGCGTGGGTGTGTTTGTGCGTGCGTGCGTGGGTGTGTGCGTGTGTGGCTGGTTGGATGAGTGGGTGGGTGGGTGGGTGCATGCGTGCGTGCATGAGTGTGTGCATTCTTGACGAGTGGCCTTTCGTCTCACCCTCCCGTCTCACCCCCCCGTCCTCCTCTTCCCGCACCTCGTCCCCGAAGGCACAGTTGCTCTCGGACCATACTTACAACGTTTTTTTGGCCCTGCTATCTCTCCCGCTCTCCCTCCCGCTCTCCCTCCCGCTCTCCCTCCCTCTCTCCCTCTTGCCCCCCCTCCCGCTCTCTCTCCCGCTCCCCCTCCCCCTCCCGCTCCCCCTCCCGCTCTCTCTCCCGCTCCCCCTCCCCCTCCCGCTCCCCCTCCCGCTCTCGCTCCCCCTCCAACTCCCTCCCAACTCTTCCGTCTCACGCCCCTGCACCCATCGCACTTCTCAACCCGCCCAAGTGAGCTCTGAGTGACAGAACTCCTCAGCAGCACCTCAATCAAAGACCTGCTGCTGCCCTGTTCTTTCTCCTTCACACCCCACCCCCATCTACCCCCTCTCCCTCCCAGTTCCTAGCGTCGTACATCAACCCGCCCATGCGGGCCATAGTCACGGACGGAGTTCCCTCCCTTCCCCTACTGCCCCACCCTTTTCTCCAATCTGCGCCATTTCCCCTACCCTGCTGTCGGGATTCCCCCTCTCCCCCCTCCCCCCCCCCCTCCCTGTGATACCAGTTCCTAGGGGCGTACATCAACCCGCCCAAGTGGGCCATAGTGACGGAGTTTCTAGAGGGCGGCACAGTCAAGGGCTTCCCCTCCCATGCCTTCTCCTTAACGTCTCGAGCCTTCATCACCTCACCTCCCCATGCCCATCCGCCATCCCCCCCCTTCTCCCCCCCTCCAGTTCCTAGGAGCGTACATCAACCCGCCCAAGTGGGCCATAGTGACGGAGTTTCTAGAGGGCGGCACAGTCAAGGGCTTCCTGTCCCGGATAGGCAAGAACCGCCTGCCGCTCAAGCAGATCGTCTCCATGGCCCTCGATGTCGCCAGGTATGCGTCTTTGTATGCATGCAAGCCTGTGCCGTGCCTTCCCATGCCCCTCTGTGCCGTTCATGCCGCTCAAGCAGATCGTCTCCATGGCCCTCGATGTCGCCAGGTATGCTTATGGCTGCCCGTGCCTGCCCGTGCCTTCCTGTGCCTTCCCATGCCTGCCAGTGCGCGTGCATCCCATGAGAAGAAAGTTGAAAGGTCACAAACTCATTAGATAAGGCCCATTCCTGCCCCTTTCCTGTGCGTTCCTGCCCGTTCCTGCCCCTGTCATGTGTGTTCCTGCCCGTCCCTGCCCGTTCATGCCCGTGCCTGCCCGTTCATGCCCGTGCCTGCCTGTTCCTGCCTTTGCCTGCCAGTCACTTCTTCCCTCGATTTCTCACACTGTGCCTTTTCTCTGTCTCCTTTTATACCCACGCCTCCGTTCCCCGCCCCCCCTATCCCCCTGTCCATTCCACCATCAGAGGCATGCAGTACCTGCACAGCACAACCACAACGTTATTCACCGCAATCTCAAGTCGTCGAATCTGCTGCTAGCGGTCTCAAAAATTCACTAGTTCCGCCCTCAGCCCAACCTCCCCTCTTTCCCCACCTTTATTCCCTCTCTACTCCCCGTTCTCCCCTCTCCCTCCCGCCCCCAGAGGCATGCAGTACCTGCACAGTCACAACGTGATTCACCGCGACATCAATTCATGCTCCCTTCGTCCTTACCTCTCTCACACCGCGTCTTTTCTCTGTCCCCCCTCATAACTCGCTCCCCCAGAGGCATGCAGTACCTGCACAGTCACAACGTGATTCACTGCGACCTCAAGTCGGCGAATCTGCTGCCGTCAATCTTAAAAGCCCTCCCCCCTCCCCCCTCTTTCCCCTTTCCCCCACCTCTCCCTCCCGCCTCCTCTTCCCCTCTCCCCCCCTTCCCCTCCGCCAGGGGCATGCAGTACCTGCACAGCCACAACGTGATTCACCGCGACCTCAAGTCGGCGAATCTGCTGCTGGCAGCAGACGCGAGTGTGAAGGTGGCGGACTTTGGCCTGGCGCGCACAGAGGCACAGGAGCCGGGCAACATGACCGCTGAGACGGGCACAATCAGATGGATGGCGCCGGAGGTGGGCAGTGGGTGGGGGATCTGGCGGCGCGAGAGGTGGGTTGTGTTGTTGTGAGGTGCCCCAATAGTACCTTCGTTTTGAGTGGGGAAATGGGGAGAGCGTTTGGCTTGCCTCAGGGGCTTTTGGCTTGGGTACACAGAGGCACAGGCGCCCGTCTTGCCATGGTGATGATCATGGGGAACATGGGGAACATGGGGAACATGGGGAACATGGGGAACGTGATGATCTGTTTCCAGGAGCCTGGCTCACACATCTGGTCCCCGATTTCCCTTCCCGTTTCACCTTCAGATGAGCGACCACAAGCCGCACACGCGGAAGGTGGATGTGTACAGCTATGGCATCGTGCTGTGGGGGATGAGTATAAGACCAACACACCTGGTCGCTGATTCCTTCTTCCTGTTTCCCAACCCCTTGTGCACGTCCTCCCTGCATCAGATGATCGACCACAAGCGTACACCAGAAAGGTGGACGTGTACAGCTATGGCATCGTGCTCTGGGAGATCTGTGGGAGACTAACACTCCTGATCCCTGCTCTCCCCTTTCTCCTCCCTGCATCAGATGATCGACCACAAGCCTTACACGCGGAAGGTGGACGTGTACAGCTATGGCATTGTGCTCTGGGAGATCTGCACGGCCCAATGGCCGTTTGAAGGGCTGTCCTTTGTGCAACTCGCACACGCCATTGTCGCTGATGTGAGTAGACCTGTTGCTGCTGTTGCTGCTGTTGCTGCTGTTGTTGCTGCTGCTGTTGCTGCTGTTGTTGTTGTTGTTGCTCTTGCTGCTGCTTTGATAGTTGTGCTCCCCACCCCTGATGCAACTCTGGGGACATCGGACACTCTCGGGACATCGGAAAATCACCCCGGTGCGAGACATTTCAAGTAGAACTTACTTTCTATCACGAGTCACCTTTGCGCACCCACCCAGCCCAGCGCAACCCAACCCAACCCAAGCCCACCCCCCTTCTCCGCCCTCTATTCCGCATCTAACTTCCTCGTTCCCTGCTCTTCCCCCCCCCTTCCCTTGCGCCAACCACCACCACTTTGCATCGCAGGACCTACGGCCGCCCATAAAGGACTGCCCGAGCCAGCTAACAAAGCTGATAACGCGGTGTTGGGACCGGGACCCAGATGTACGGCCAGACTTTGACGAAATTGTTAAAACTCTCCAAGGCATTGCCTCGAGTGCGTCGCTCAGATTCAGGTGCGGATGGGTGTGGTGGGATGGGGATGGTTGAGTTTAAGTGAGGTGGGGTGCGGATGGGCGGGGTGGGATGGGATGGGGTGAGTGGGACAAACCTGATTGTCACGACGCTCGAACGCATTGCCTCGAGTGCGTCGCTCAGATTCAGGTGCGGATGGGTGGGGTGGGGTGGGTTTGGGTGGGTGTGAGCGGGTTGAATGTGATTGAGAAGGGTTCAAGGGGCTTTTCTTTTGAGGACGCTGCTCAGATTTAAGCACACGTGGTTAGGTGGGATGGTGTCAGGTGTGGTGAGTTTGCTCTCCGTTGCTCTCTCCTCTCACACACCCTTTTGTTTCTAACACCCTAACACCCTCTTGTTCTAAGCACCCTAACTCTCTCTTGTTTCTAACACCCTTTCCCTACCAGGTCGGATGGTCCAACAGTACCCATGCGGCCAGCACCCACAGGATCCGGCAGACCTAACGGCAGCTTAACTCCAGCAACAGCAGGAGGAGGAGGAGGAGGTGGAGGAGGGGGAGGAGGAGGGGGAGGAGGAGCAGGAGGGGGAGCAGGAGGAGGAGGCGGGAGGGGAGGGGATGGCAGCAGCAGTCAGGGTGTGGCGTCACGGCACGGGCAACGGGAAGAGCAGCCAGCAGAAGGGCAGTGGACCAAGATCCAGGTGCCTGTAGCTCCTGAGAAATCCACTGGGTGCGGTTGCTCGATACTGTGAGGCGATGCAGATTGTTTGGGGGGGAAGCGGGTGAGGTTGAATGAGGGGGTGGGGTGGGGGCAAAGAGGGGGGACATGATCAGGGCGGGTATTGATGGATGGAGGGAAGGAAGGAGGAAGGGAAGGGAGGAAAGGAGGAAGGGAAGGGAGGGAAGGAGGAAGGGAAGGGAGGAAAGGGCAGGAAGAAGCCTTCCATTAGGGTAGTGGTGAGGCCATTGCAGCAGCAGCAGCAGCAGCATTAGCAGCAGCATTAGCAGGAGAAGAAGTTGCAGGTGCAGCGATGGCGGAGGGATGGCTGCTCTCACTCAAGACAGGATATAACCTGCTGTGCAGTGCAGGGCAGCCACATCTGCCAACGGTGCACCATGCAACCACAATAAAACCCCTTCTCAACCATAAAACCCTGAACCCCTTTTACATCCTCCTTTCATTGTCCGGTCGCACCTACATCCCCACATCCTCACACCCTCACATGCCCAGATCCTCAGACTCACTCCCTCACTTCCTCACATCCGCACAACCCTACGTCCTCACATCTTCCCGCTATTTGCCCTACCCTCTCGGCAGACACCTATTCTTTCGTATTACAGTCTCAGCATCCCACCCTACCCAGCCCACACTGCACCACCACACTCCACCACTCCCGACCACCGTCTTTCTTCCACGGACCCCCTTTTCCAGCTCCACTCCAGCCCACATCCTCCTCACCGCTTTCATCCGCTTTCCTTGCAGAATCCATCCCCCTTCTCCTCCTCCATTTTAAAATACCCCCTGCTGCTCTTCCTGGGAAGACGAAGGGCAATCGCCAATCATACCCTCTTGCTCTGAAGTGGGTTGCAATCGCATGCATGGCCTGGTCACAGGAAGAAGCACTTTGGCGACGTTGGAGGCGCCTCAAAACCTGCAACACCTTTTGGCGATAGGAAGGAGGAGGAGCACCGTGATTTGGAGAGGACGGAACGGATCATGGATGGGAAAGCGCAGGAAGATAGAATGGTGAAAGGAAGAAGGGTTGTAGTTTTGGGTATGTACCAGTATGGTGTTGTGTGGTGTTGAGGCTGTTCTACAGTATATCCTAGCAAAGGACTGTTTTACTGGTCTGGTGCACAAGACCTGCTGGAATGCAGAAACTACCGTATATTGCTTTCTGAGCACCCTACCTCTCATGTGCTTGCAGGCATGTGTGCTTCTGACAGCTATAAGTAAATAAAATGTTACATGTGTTGCGTTTGCAGGTGAAGGCTTGTAGGGTAGTGCAGAGAAGCCTAAGGGAAAGTGCATAGAGGAGTTGGAGTTTCTAATTTGGTGGTCACCAGTGTAATAATTGCAATTGTGAAAGTCTACTTAGGCTGACTTGCATGTTGGGCTGAAAAGGCTCTAAGGATCTTTACAGAGGATAACTCTGGGTAGGATACTTTGTAATAGCGGAAGCGTTTAATGAAGCTTTGTGAACCGACCTTGCACTAGTGTGTGAGAGCAAAGTAGATTAAATTATATTGAAAGGATACAAGCTTATATAATAATACAGGGAATATGAAGAGATACGGTTATAACTACTTTTACTGTTGCTGTTGCGGTTCGATACAGTGCGACTCGGGCAACTGCTCTGTAATGAGTCAGTTGTGTGTCCTTAACTGTCGCGCTGTTCTTGTCAGGTCAAGGGTCAGCGACCTTTGACTTTCGCGTAACTTCCTGCAGCCGATTCAACCTCCGAGGGTTGACTCGCAGGTGCTTCGGTGTAGGTTGCCTCGCTTCTGGTGCAATGTTTTGACACTGCTGAAGCGTTTAAGTTCCATTGTTTCCAACATTGCAAAGGCAGCGTTATCATTTCATATGGGTTGTAGTACATCGTTCTCGTCTTATATACCGTCATACCCCGGATATACCCCCATGGGGGGCAATAATAAAACAGGTTTTTTTAGGGGGGTGCGCTTAAAATCGAGTAAATTTATAAGCGCCGGCGTATATAAAATGACATATATATTTTTTGCTGTTTTTCAACACCAAACTGTAGATCTCGTGCTTGCCTTTTCAATCGAGTCGAAGTGCGCCATCTAATACGCTCTACAGTGCCTTCGATTCCTTTCTCAGCAGCATAAATCCAATCCCCCATGGGGTCGTCTGTAAAATTCTCGCGCGCGCTTGGAGATACACTCAATCTGACTCACATCCAGCTCCTGACAGCCCTGCTGACTGGACCCGCATCGAGTGCAGGGTCCGAATGTGAAGGGAACCAAATCTGCAACACGCCCGCCTGCTAAAGTAAAATTCATTACAGCGTTTTAAGCACATTTCAAAATTTAAAGTTAACGTGTGCTTATAATAAAACAGGTTTTTTCAGGGGGTGCGCTTATAATCGAATAGCGGATATAAGCGCCACACGCCAGGGCTCTTGCTAGGATTTAGGCCTGTCTGAAGTCCCCCCCCCCAAAAAATCGTTTTGTCTAACGTTCAGACGGGCAAAAAAAAAAAGCCTGATTTTTCAGACGAAAGTTGGAGCTTAGTCTGATTCATAAGACAAATGTTTTCCATGGTCTGTTTGCTGTATTACACTAGTCAGCCATGAAAACGGTATGATTCAGTCTTTACAAAGTACGAAATGAATGCGCGACGTTGACAACCCGCTAGCAGACAATCATAGCAAGTTGGGCGCCTAGGGGGACTTGGGGGGGGGAGGGGGAATTTGGGCTGCGAGGGACATGCATGGGTGGGTCCGTGTCTTACGCGACGGACCAGGGGGGTGGAGGGACTTGAGGGGAAGGGGGCTGGGCTGGGAAAGGTGTAGGGGAGCTAGGCGGGGGAAGGGGGGATGGACTGGGGTTGCGCAGCGAGAGGCTGGGCTGGTGGAGGGGTGACTTGGTGGTGAGGTTGGGTTAGGAGAAGCGCGTGAGGGACGGGACTTAGGGCAGGGGGGACTGAGGGGAAGGGGGGGGGTGGGAGGGGGAGGGGGCAGGCCAGTACGGTACTTTCTCGGTATCAGATGAAATTGTACGCGCTTTCTGATTTTTCAGACGGAATATAACACTTAGTCATTTTTTTCAGACGAAATAAAATCATTCGTCTTGTGGTTCAGATGAAAAAAAAACTATGGTCTGGAAGATCATATGAAACAAAGAAATCAGGTCTGATTTTCAGACCATCAGACCGATTTGGTCTGATAACCAGAGCCCTGCCACACGCCAATTAAAAGCGCCAGGCGCTTATCCGAGGGTGGCGCTTATATCCGGGGTATGACGGTATGTCTACATAACAGCAAACACCAATGGGTGGGCGGGTGGGAAATTAGAACTACAATTTCAGAAATGAAAACGTGGCTGGGGACGAATGTCCCCACGTCCCTCTTTTGTAGGCAAAAGAGGGTGAGTAGCGCTTCGGCGCTACCTTTGCTGTGTTGGCAACGTACACCTTTTCACAATACAAAATCTTAGAAAGTGTTACATTTCATTATACTTGAAAAAATTATCATTTCAGCTAACCTTGTACGAACCATTCTTACCGGTACATCACCAATGTACCAAATAGCTAGAACACAAAGCATAGCTAGAAGGTCTTACGGTATTACCAAATAAATGCTTGCACGTAAGTGTCAAAGTATATGTAAATGTTAGAATGATATGTAGGCTGTAGTGGGGTAGCCAATGTAGGGTATAGGTTTTGTTACTTGTACCCAACTCTCTCGATGGTCAACACACCTTTCCTTCCCTTTACTCTCGACATGGTATTAAGAGCAAAATAGGTTCTTAGGACCGTTTTAGGACTGTTTTTTTGGGCCCACCAACCGCTTCCGCCGGTTACCGCGTTAACCCGTCCCCTGCCTACACCGCCCTGAGTCGCGCAGCCCTCGCGCTCGCCTCTGCTGGCCCGGGCGCAGCTCGCTAGCAGCCCGCCCGCTGCCTCGTCAGCCCTGCGCGTCGCTCGTCCGCTGCCTCGTCAGCCCCGCGCGCCGCCCTGCAGCCCTCGCGCTGCCATCTGCTGCCCCGCACGCCGCCCCGCAGCCCTCGCGCTGCCTTTACTGACCCGCGAGCCGCCCGCGCAGCCAGCCTGCTGCCTCGTCAGCCCCATGCGACGCCCGCGCAGCCCGCCCGCTGCCTCATCAGCCCCGCGCGCGGCCCGCGCAGCCCGCCTGCTACCTCGTCAGCCCCGCGCGCTGCCCTCCCAGTGCCTTAGCATCCCTCGTGCTGTCTCTACTGCTCCGCGCGCACCACTCTTCCGCCATTGCTGCTCCTCCCCTGTCTCTGCAGCTTCGCGCACCGCCCCTGCCGCCCACACGCAGCCTTTGTCGTCCGCGTGCTGCCTCTACTGTCGTGCTGCAGTGACCATGACTTCTATTAGCGTACTGTCGTTCGACCCTGAGGGTCGCCCGGTCGAGTTCGATGCCTGGCTCGAAGATCTTCAGCTGTATCTTATGACTGATGCCAAGGACAGCGTCTCGCTCTTTGACTTAGCTAAGGTTCCTCAGACGCTCCAGACACAGCTGACAGCGTCGCTCATTCACAGTGGCTTACCCGTGACGCTACTGCACGCCTATCTATTCGCAACCACTTGCCTCTAGCCGAGCGCACCCACTTTGGCCAGCACAAAACCGCTAAAGCACTGTACGTTGCTGTCATCGCTCGCTACTCTTCTCCTGCCACTACTGCCCTCAGCCGCCTTATCCTACCCTACCTTTTTCCTGAGCTCTCCTCCTTTGCCACAGCTGAGGACCTTATCACTCATCTCCGCGCTAGTGACGCTTGTTACCGCGCTGCCCTCCCGGTCGAGTTCTTAGACAAGAACCCTCCCCCGATGTACATCAGACTCTACTTCATCGTCACCCGACTCCCTGACTCTCTTCGTGTCGTCAGGGACCACTTTCTAGCCCTTCCCCCCACCGACCTCACCGTCGACGACCTCGAGAAGCACCTGCTTGCAACTGAGTCCAACATAGTAGCTGTCGGTGCTGCTCGTGGCACTCCCCGCACTCCTTGCCCCCTCCCCCTTTGCCCCTCTCACGCCTCTGCT